AGGAATAGTCCAATTTACTTTGACTAAAACCAGAATCTACAAGGGCTGAAGTCAGTTTCAGGTTCCATTGCCTGCTGGCCTGCTTCAGACCATACAGGGACTTGAGTAGTCTACACACCCTAGTCTCCCCCTGACTACCAAAGCCCTGAGGTAATGACATGTAGACCTCCTCTGAAAGGTCACCTTGGAGGAATGCATTATAAACATCCATCTGGAACAAAGGCCAAGCATGTTGGGCAGCCAAGGCAACCACACTCCTGACTGTGACCATTTTAACCACAGGGGAAAAGGTCTCACGATAATCCAGACCCTTCTGTTGAGTAAACCCCTTAGCCACTAGCCTGGCTTTATACATTTCTATAGAACCATCAGCTTTGTATTTAACCTTATAAACCCACTTACAGCCTATGGGTGACTTACCTGCAGGAAAATCCACTAACTCCCAGGTATTATTATCTGTAAGTGCTTGAATCTCAAGTTTCATAGCTTGAACCCAGTTACTGTCATTGACAGCTTGGTCAAAAGAAGTAGGTTCAACAATGGATGAATAAGAAGATAAGCAGGTTTGATAAGAGAGAGATAAGGAAGAATAATTGATGGAATCAGTGATGGAATAAGGAGTAGAAGATGAAGGTTTGACATGATGGACAAAATCTGTAAGCCATAATGGAGGTTTAGATGTTCTTCCAGATTTCCTTAAAGGAGCTGCAGGAGTAGGAGGCAAGTCCTGGTGTTGTTGAGTTGGAGGATCAGGCAGAGTAGGAAATGAAGAGGTTGGAGAAGGAATAGGAGAAGAGGGAAAGGGGGAAGATACATGAACAGGAGAGTGAGGAGATAAAGCATGCTCAGGTGTGGTTGCAGGGACAGGATAAGCTGAAGTTACAGGTGGTGAGGAAGACATAGAGGTAGGGAAAGAATCATCAAGAGGAAGAGGTGTAGTATTCAGAAGGAATGTAGGAGAGGAACTTGAAGGCAAAGTGTGTAGAAATGTAGACTTAGGATGTTTGAAGGGAAACACTATTTCTCTGAAGAAAACATCCCTACTGACAAAGAATGTCCCAGTAAGAATATTGTATAATCTGTATCCCTTTTGTGAGGTAGAATAACCCATGAAAATAGCAGGTATAGCCTTTTGTGAGAATTTATCATTGTTATCCAAAGTAGTTGCATAACAGAGACATCCAAAGACTCTAACAAGATCAAGTTTGGGAGGATGTCCATGAAAAACCTCATAAGGAGATTTCCCAGATAGGACTGAGGATGGCAGCCTATTAATGAGAAAAGCTGCAGTTAGCACACATTCTCCCCAGAATTTTAATGGAGCATGAGCTTGAAACCTAAGAGCTCTAGCCATTTCAAGCAAGAGCCTATGTTTTCTTTCTGCTACTCCATTCTGCTGTGGAGTGTGTACACAGGAACTTCGATGTAAAATGCCAAGTGATGAGAAAAGAGTTGAACACTGAGAATTGAAGAATTCAAGACCATTATCTAATCTTATGATCTTAATTGTGGTAGAAAACTGATTTTTGACAAGAGCAAGAAAAGATTTGAGTAAAAGGAAGACATCACTTTTCATTTTCATCAAGTAGATCCAAGTCATTCTAGAGTGATCATCTACAATAGTAAGGAAATACTTGTATCCATTGCAAGTACATTGTCTATAAGGACCCCAAACATCCATGTGTACAAGATCAAAAGGAGATACACTTTTCTTTGTACTAGTAGGAAAAGGAAATCTAATTTGCCTTGCTAAAGGACAAACAGTACAGTTTAAACTGTCTTTATTCAGCAAATGAGTCTTCAATGAAGGAATTTTTTGTAAAACTGCTACATGTGCATGACCAAGTCTTTGGTGCCAAATGGAAGGATGTGGACATGGCTTTGATGTGGTGTTAGATGATTGTGAGATTGAAATATTAGAATCTGAAGTTGCTGGAAATGTGAAGGAGTTGAGAGCAGGAACTGAAGGTGTATCAGGCACTTTGACAGGTGGTGGTAGCTTGGCAGGTTGAAGTATGTAAAGTCCATCCTTCTCCTTACCAATCCCCCTCACCCTGCCCTTGTAGAGGTCCTGAAAAATGCAAAATTCAGGAAAGAATAATGCACAACACTTCAGTTCTTTAGTTAACTTTGAGACAGATAACAAGTTGTATTTGAAGTTAGGAACATAAAGGACATTATATAGTTCTAGATCATTGGAAAGGGTTAAAGATCTTGTGTGAGTTACAGAAGTGGTGTTACCATTGGGCAAATGCACTTTACTAGAGTTAGAGGCAACAGAATGGGATTCAGTTAAGATGTCCAAGCTAGAGACCATGTGATTCGAAGCTCCAGTATCTATAACCCAGGAATTAGTTTCAGAACCTACAGAAAGACATGCATTAAGCAGATCAACCATACCTGCCATGTTTGCTTTTGCATCTGTTGGTGAAGGCTCCCTGTCAATCAGCTTCAGCAATTGGTGGTATTGTTCTGGGGTGAAGAATGGTATATTGCTGGGCCCTCCTAATAAGCTATCTGCCGAAGGGTAAGGTGAAGAAGCTTCATCAATGCAGCTCACATTATATGTTGTAGGTCCCTTGCTTCCTCCTGAATTTCCCTTGTCAAAAGTTCTCCTCTTGTTAAACTTGTTGTTAGGTGGATATCCCACCAGTTTGTAGCAATTTTCCTTCTTGTGACCCCTCATATGGCAATAATCACATTGCAATGCACTATTTCTATTGTCTTTTCTGAATCTGGTATTTTGGATAGAGGCCAATGTTGTAGAGTCATTCAAGTCAAGCTGTTGCAAGGCTGGTGCTACTTGAGATATCATGTTTGATTGCATTCTTTGACTTTCATCTTGCATTATCATATTGTATGCTTGATTGAGAGTGGGAACAGGGACAGTTAATAACACTTGACTCCTTGCCTGTGCATGTGTCTCATTTAAGCCGATTAGAAATTGTACTAGTCTTTGTTGCTCCATGTGTTCAGCATATTCCTTATGTTTGGTACAGTCGCATGGCAATGGTACCATTCACCAATACTCATCCCATGCACATTTCAGTCTTGAATAATATTCTGAAACTGATAGACTTCCTTGACTTGTGGTGCAAATTTCTCGGAGAAGTTGGTAGACTCTAGTTAAATTTTTCTTATCAAATCTCTCCTTCAGGTCTGTCCAAACACTATAAGCATTGGTTGAGTACATTATACCATTTGCCAGCTCTTTAGATACTGAATTAGTTATCCAGGATAACACGAAAGCATTGCACCTTTCCCATTCATGCTCTAAATCACCACTATATTGTTCTTTCCGACATTTTCCATCTATAAAACCTAGCTTATTTTTGGCCAATAAGGCTACTCGCATAGAATTGCTCCAAGCTGTATAATTTTCTATTCCTGTTAGTTGTTGAGGAATGAGCACACTACCTGGACTGTCTGAGGGATGCAGATACAGAGGATGCCTAGGATGAATGTCCGTGAATTTTTCTCCATCGTCCTTCCCGGTCTCAGCAATAGTGTTCGTCATGATTTAGGTTCAAATCAGTGATTCGAAGGTTGAATCTGTATCAATCTTCAAAGAAAAGCTTTCACTCTCCCGGAATTCACGAGATTCGAGATCGATTACAAACCCTAGCTGGATTCCCCAAAATTTGACGAAAGCTCTTAATCTCTCACTTCTCTGACAATTTATCTTAGATTCTTCAGAGGATCTGATAAAAAAATGTCATAGATCTATGGCTCTGATACCATATTGAAAGGGGAAGAAAATCCGATCCTTGAGCTAAGATAGGAAGAACATGGAGCAGAGAGAGAGAGAAAGAGTAGAAGGTTCTGGAGAAATTTTTTATTATTCATTGATACCAAACGTGTAACATTTACATTTATATGTCTTCTAACTAACTAACTCTAATCACATGTATAATTAATTATCAACACTAAGCTAACACTAATTCACTATGTACAAGCATCATTGCTTATGTACAACTGTGCACATACTAATTTCAACAAGTTAAGTCATAGAAAGTAGATTAGATTTAATAATTTTGAGCAAGGGAGTTGTCGTATAATATTGTCAGCTAATAACTAGCTTAATTGCTAGAAGTAATTTCGTAAAGTTAGGGAGGAAGAAAATGCCGTCAAAGAGAGATCAGGCAGGAACGTGTGTGTGTGTGTGTTGGGGGGGCGCGGGGTAGGGGGGAACTCATCGACGGACTAGCATCATAATATATAGTAGTAGAAAGAGTAAAAAAAGAGGAGCAAAACCATTTCCTCTCTTACTCAAGTGAAAGATGAGGGAAATATGGCCCCCAACACCCACCAGCGACCAATTTAGCATCTCGAGCTGCACGGGAAGGGGTAAGGTCTCAAGCTGTCTTCCGGAAACAGGCTCTCTACCTCCCAGTGTAGGGGTAACACGGGGAGTGTATATTCCTTTAGTGAAGCAGCAACAATGAAGAAATAGAATAACCATCTGCCCCTAGGTCAAGAAAACATTCCCATCCTTCCCTTTTTACTTTTAACCAAACATAACATGACCATAAATTTAGGAGGGTACTCAAATCCTTAAAGATTGAACTGATTCTTGCGGTTAGGGGTGGCAAACTGACTGGTCAGGTCGAAAATATGGAACAGGTCGAAAACGAGTAATGAAAAACAAATAAATTATTCGACCCAACCCATATATAATACAGATAAAAACGAGTTAACCGGTAGATAATATGGGTAACTATATTATCCATGGCTTCATGAATATGGTCACTTTTAGGAGAATTCCTAATTTCCCGAACTTGAGGAACCCCAATTTAGAGTTTTACAAATGTAAATGTTAAATCCATTGGTTATCCATTTTCTAAATGGATAATATTGTTCTTACCCATATTTGACCCGTATTTAAAAAGTTCATTATCCAACCCATTTCTTAGTGGATAATATAAGTGATTAATTGTTTTCTTTTACCCATTTTGCCACCACTACTCGTGGTGAACTTGATAAAAGTGAGTCCCACCAACTACCACAACAATAAAAGTTGGACTTAATTCATTCAGAGCATATCTCTCACAATAGCTAAGTCAACTGAAAGCACCTAACAAGGGCTTATTTCAATCCACACATTTAAGGCCATAATTGGCAATGGTTGTTATAAAAATGAGATTTCTCCTCTCCAAATTCAGAATGTCACTCCAATACAGTTCCACCTCAATGAAGTTCTCTGTCTAGATCCATTTCCTAATTGAGGATCAGGTTGAGCTCACAAGAACAAATAGTGGCTTATCACCTAACCTGTCCCGGCCCTGAATTTAAACAAATGTAACCAGCAAAGTATTAATGGGGGAATAACAAAAATAAATCAGAAAGTCACTAGCATAACATATTGGAACAAGAACAACATAAAGTTGGGGAAGAAAAGTACATTGACCACCTCTTAGTAGCTCATTTATCGATAATAGAGGAACGAAAATAATTTGGGACAGAAGATATAGATTTAATCAAAGAAAAATAAAAGGATACATTCATAAGTCCCCATTCACAATATTGGGCTCAGAAAACACAGCAGTCAGGTGTGAAACTCAGAAATTATCTCGTTACGTTAAGAACAGAAATCAAGGCATACCTTCAATTCTGGCAACTCAATAAGACATGCACACTCGACCACCTCAACTCCAACACGCTCTGCGAAGAAAACACAAGATCAAAAAAAATTAAGAAATTAAAACTTCAATGTCACAGAATGTCCTCTTCAAATTGTTGGAAGAAAAAAAGGTGGTCAAACACCTCAACTAAACAAAATGATTCTCTCTCAGTTATCTAACTGATAGCTTCTGATCTTACTCACCTTGTGTGTGAAGTCAGGGGAGATAAGTTAAGGAGAGAAAAAGGAATTGGAAATAGCGCATGAGGCTTTCAACCCACTAGAGTATCTATTTCAGAAGAGTAGAACTGAATATAGGTACAGTACCTAGAAGCCTAATTGCAGCAGCTAGGGTCCCTCCAGTTGCGATAAGATCATCTACCACAAGTGCACGTTCACCGGCTTGCACAGCACCTACATGCATCTCAATCTTGTCTGTTCCATACTCCAAAGAATACTCTTCTGAAATAACCTCCCCTAATAAATGGGAAAAGAAGCAGAGTGAAATGCTTGTAATGGTCCAATGCCAAAAGAACTAACATTCGATAATAGCATTGAATTTTATCATGAATCTTGGAGGTCAAGGCAATAAACAGTGATAGTTAAAAGTTTTGACCTTCATACAAGCACATAGTCATGTAAGACCCAATTATTCTACTTGCTGAACAGTAAATGGTTCTAATCAATTTACCTAGTTAAGAGTCCTTTAACTTGATTCTTAAAAGTTTAAACTTGATAATGTATTTGCCATTATTAAGTTGCATCCTGCTTCATGCTTATCTTATGCTCATATTGTTCATCACAAGTACAACTAATTTACCTCCTGATCATACTATGCTACTGTAACATATGGCACAGGGTCTTACAGTGGCAGGGTATCAGAAGAAGTGCAAGCTGGAGTGAGGAAGTTGAATGGGCAATCTTGCATGCAAAAGGAAGGAACTCACAGGCAGAGGTGTATAGAATGACACTGGCTGCAGCTGTATACCATATATGGCAGGAACGAAATTGCAGAATTTTCCAGCAGAAGCAGCGGAGTGGTGAAGCTATACTTAAAATGATTGTCCAAGAAGTGCATTGTAGAGGTAGTTTAAGCCCAAGACTAGCTAGACAACTACAGAATCTGAAGTTTTACCCTTAATTTTGTATATACTTAATTGTCAGGAAGTTAAGTAGAATAGTATGATCAGGAGACGTTCACTGAAGTTGGGCCATTTGACCAACTTTGGGGGTTATTAGTTATACTTGTAATTTTCCCTGCTAATGAAAATCTTGTAACCAAAAAAAAAAAAAATACATATACATATACATACATACATACATACATATACATATATA